GTGCAGCCCAACAGGCGCCAGTGCCAGGGCTAGTGCGCTCAGTCACCAGCACTCAGTAACAGATCTAGTTAGACACGCCCACTCCCCTTCACTGCAACACAAGCCTGAGGGGGCGTGGCTGTTACTCAGCTTTGCCAGCACAGAGCACTGGAGGGGGTGCAGCACTATAAAGGTGAGACTTAAAGATCAATGATCAGTTAATGAAGCCCCCCCCCTCCCCCCACAAATATATTATTGATCTCGGCCTATCACACGACTGATTATTGCCAATGAATCTGATTTGTACCGACAATGTCTCCTCAGGGTGGTGAAGATGTCCAGCCCCAACCTCAACCTGGTCATCCTGCTGGGCAGCCTTGTCGTGTACGTCAGCGCGTTCATGTTTGCTGCACAGGAAGCCGCCTCCTCCATCCAGACCGTTATCCAGGTGAGTGAAAGCGCACAAGGTCTGTGACTGACTGACAAGGACGTACCTTCTACACACAAGGTCTGTGACTGACTGACAAGGATGTACCTTCTAAGCACAAGGTCTGTGACCGACTGACAAGGACGTACCTTCTACGCACAAGGTCTGTGACTGACTGACAAGGACGTACCTTCTACGCACAAGGTCTGTGACCGACTGACAAGGACGTACCTTCTACGCACAAGGTATGTGACTGACTGACAAGGACGTGCCTTCTACGCACAAGGTCTGTGACTGACTGGCAAGGATGTACCTTCTACACACAAGGTCTGTGACTGACTGACAAGGACGTACCTTCTACGCACAAGGTCTGTGACCGACTGACAAGGACGTACCTTCTACGCACAAGGTCTGTGACTGACTGACAAGGACGTACCTTCTACGCACAAGGTCTGTGACTGACAAGGACGTACCTTCTATGACGAGATCTGTCTTGCTGTGATCGCAGGTTGCACTGACTTGTGTCTTGTGTCTCGGCTCTCAGGTGAGGATCAGCCTCCTGTATATTGGGGTGTCTCTGGTATTCGGGCCGTTGCTGGGGAAGAGCTGGAGACTCCACCGCGTGTTCACCCATCGCGTCCCCGATAAACGAGTGGTGAGTATACTGAACCCCAATATTGTCAGAGCTGTCAGTGGTTATACCTCTAATCTCTGACCTGAACCCCAATATTGTCAGAGCTGTCAGTGGTTATACCTCTAATCTCTGACCTGAACCCCAATATTGTCAGAGCTGTCAGTGGTTATACCCCTAATTTCTGTCCTGAACCCCAATATTGTCAGAGCTGTCAGTGGTTATACCCCTCATTTCTGACCTGAACCCCAATAATGTCAGAGCTGTCAGTGGGTATACCCCTCATTTCTGACCTGAACCCCAATAATGTCAGAGCTGTCAGTGGGTATACCTCTCATCTCTGACCTGAACCCCAATATTGTTAGAGCCGTCAATGGTTATACCCCTCATTGCTGACCTGAACCCCAATATCCTCCAGCTGTGGTGGAACTACAAATCCCACGAGGCATTGCAAGATTCTCACAGCCACAGACAGGACTCCCGGAGAGAGATGCATCATGGGATTTGTAGTTTCACCCACAGCTGGAGGGTCGGAGGTTTGCTACCCCTGATACACAGAGAGGGAATGGTCGCAGTGACAGGTCCTCTTATGAGATTTCGCTGACTCTTGTTTCTGTCCCTCAGATTATAAAGGATCTGACGCTGCTGGGCCTACAGGCGGCCCTGCTCTTCGTTGACTCCATGCTGCTCCTGTCCTGGGTGTTGTCTGACCCCGTCCTCTGTGCCCAGAATGTCAGTGCCAGCATCAAGGTGAGGAGCCATCAGACCTGAGCCCCCTTCACTGCTTCCACACACACCAAAGCTTCATCTAAACCCAAGCAGGACACTATCTGCATGGAGTTTGTATGTCCTCTCCATGTTTTAGTTCAACAGTTCAATAACGTACTGGAAGAGGAAACAGTCCTCTTTGGCGGACAGGATCTGGAAACAAATGGAGAGTCTATCACACTTTATATACAATAGAGTTTGTTACATCGGCCCTTCACACCCAGCCCGGGGCAGTGCTCTAGACAGTAAGTCCAAAGAAAAACAGCCGGTGGCCCATTGTACAATCCATAGCTCATAAAGCTTTATTGTCCCAGAACAAGCAACGTGAAGACCCAACTGGGACCTTCTCCTCTGACCCATTTCACTGTACAATCCAGAACTCATAAACCTTTATTATTCCAGAACAAGCAACGTGAAGGCCCACCTGGGACCTCCTCCTCTGACCCATTTCACTGTACAATCCAGAACTCATAAAGCTTTATTATTCCAGAACAAGCAACGTGAAGGCCCACCAGGGACCTCCTCCTCTGACCCATTTGACTGCACAATCCAGAACTCATAAACCTTTATTATTCCAGAACAAGCAACGTGAAGGCCCACCTGGGACCTCCTCCTCTGACCCATTTTACTGTAAAATCCAGAGCTCGCAAAGCTTTATTATTCCAGAACAAGCAACGTGAAGGCCCACCAGGGACCTCCTCCTCTGACCCATTTGACTGCACAATCCAGAACTCATAAACCTTTATTATTCCAGAACAAGCAACGTGAAGGCCCAATTGGCACCTCCTCATATGACCCATTTCACTGTATAATACAGAGCTCGTAAAGCTTTATTGTTCCAGTACAAGCAACGTGAAGGCCCAATTGGCACCTCCTCATATGACCCATTTCACTGTATAATACAGAGCTCGTAAAGCTTTATTGTTCCAGTACAAGCAACGTGAAGGCCCACCTGGGACCTCCTCCTCTGACCCATTTCACACATCAGGGGGAGGAGGTCTCAGACGGGGCTTTGAGATGCTTGTCCTGGAACAATTGATAGTTTGGGGCACAGAGGAACCCCCGTTTAGCGTTTGCACCCGGCCCACTAATCACGCAGCCCTCAGTGGTTCGGGAGACACGGAAAACTTTACTTTCTTTGCATTTTTCCAGACAGTTGGTCTCTGAAACCCATGAACCACCGATATACGTTTGTTGTACTTCTCTTCCCCAGGCCGCTGAGCGAGGAACACACTGCGCTGTGACCAGAACCCTCTCCTGCTCCTCCCTCTACGCAGACTTCTGGGTCGCCCTGTTGTTGGGCTTCAAGGTAAGAGCAAAGCTGGGAGGACACAAAGAATGAATGGCGGTTCCCAGAGTGTTATGGCGGTTTTATCAGCCGGTGTACGGGAGAACGCTCAGCAACTGTCCTCTCTGTGTGTCCTTCTCGGGGTTACCGGATCCTGTTCTGCAGTGAGGGGATCTGACTGGTTTAAATACCCAGGGAAACCAAGGACCACCCCCTGGTTGCCGAGGCGACCAGGAAGCTTCCCTAACCAGGAGCCAATAGCAGGGCTGACGGGGCGGATGGTGTGTGCTGGGGACCTCCCCCAGCCTGGCTAGCGCCTGAAAATGCTAAGTGGCGCAGGCGCGTTACGCACGCGCAGCCTGTGTACTGCACACATTTCGCGCATGCCTGTGGGGGCTTTTAAAGCGTCTTCTATTGATTTTTTGGGGTACTGCAGTTTTACGCCGTTTCACGGACGCACGCAATTTGTAACCTGGGCATGTTGGGTATCGTTTTACTCGTTGTAACCTCATCTTTTACTCTTTTACATCTGTAACCTCATCTTGCTCCTCAGGCCCATCTGGTGGCCATACTGTGCTGTGAAGCTAACAGTTGTGAACAGAGCATCTGTATACCTGGGATTCAATGCTGAATCTTCTAACTCTAGTTTGAGAGTTTTGATTGGATCCGGATGAATTATGACCAAGATACAGAACAACTGAAGGTGACCTTGCACTACAAAAGCAAGGTTCACTTATCAGATCAGACCCCCTCTGCCCACCCCATGCAAAAAGGGAAATCCTGGGAGTGCTGAGGATTCCAAATCCATGCCCTGCCCAGTACGTCTTCTTATGACACTAGGGATCCTCAGCGTTCGCAGGATCTCCCGGAAGGACCATGACAATAACTCTTTCCTATTCGGAAGCCATAATGAGGCACGGTGTCTTAGCATGGGGGATGAGGGGGCCCCATGTAATAGGTGGACATTGCTTTTTTCGAGATGCAGCTATAATGAGAGAAAGGTATTGTGTCAGAGATTGCAGTTCCCAAAGGCATACCTGTAACCACAACCGCAGAAACATAACCACCCATGGGACTGCTATGGGGTCCAGACCCACAGGGGCCCGGTACGTACAGGATGCAATGATGAATAAGCAAGAGATGCCTGATGTTTATATACATCAGGCCACTCTGTGAATGCTCTCCATGCAACCAGTACAAGGTGGAGGTACACTGTTCTGGGTAGACAGGAACAGAGCTGGGAATTCTGGCACGGTGATCTCATTGCCCAGGAATTTCATGTGCGTGTAAAGGCGTCCCAATACTTTTGGCAGTATAGTGTACAATAATCCAGCAGTCGACTCAGCCCACCGGGCTTTACCTATTACTAAAACACGTCACTTTTGGGTGGACCTACCCTAATAATACTTCTTGTTCATTTCAGGGCATTCTCCTGATCTATGGGAGTTACTTGGCCGGCCTGACCAAGAACATCAGCACGCCGCCGGTTAACCAGTCTCTGGTCATCATGGTGGGCACCACGTTGGTGGCTGTGAGCACCGGGGTTGTCCTCTTGGCCAATCGATTCTTCCACAACTGGCCCAACTTGGTCTATGGGGTGACATCTAGCAGCATCCTCATCTGTACTGCCGCCATCAACTGCCTCATCTTCATCCCACAGGTACTGATATACAAAGTGTGTGTGTGTGTGCGGGGGGGGG